TTGTTTTGGTACCCAGGATTGAACCCAAGGGCTCTGAGCCACCTCCACAGCCCTTTTCAAAAAAATATATTTTATTTAAAGACAGGGTGTCACTCAGTTACTTAGGGCCTTAAGTTGCTGAGGCTGGCTTTGAACTCACAATCCTCCTGCCTCAGCTTCCCAAGCCACTGGGATTACAGGCGTGCACTACCATGCCCAGCTTTACATGTCCTCTTATCCTCACTTTCTATTTCAAAGGGAAAGAAAGTCCCTTTAAAACTAACACCTGTACTCTAGAAGAACCTATTCTTTTTTTTTTTTTTTTTTAATTCAGGGGCTCCTGGCCACTAAACCACATCATCAGCCCTATTCTGTATTTTATTTAGAGACAGTCTCACTGAGTTGCTTAGCACCTCACTTTTGCTGAGGGTGGTTTTTGAACTCTAATCCTCCTGCCTCAGCCTCCAAGACTTTGGGATTACAGGTGGGCACTGTGGTCTAGAAGGGACCCTGTTCTCGATTTCCAGCTTCTCATTAACATAAATAGCTGACATGCTTATAGCTGTTTATTTTATAACACCTCACTTAACTCTACCATCAGTCCAATAAGGGCCCAAAAGAAGAAACCTAAGGCTCATTGCTACTCAAGTCCCTCAGGGGATAAGTTCTGAGGGTCTTTCTTGTGTTCCCTGCTATTTCTCCCTACTCTTCTCATTTTCCCTTATCTAGAAAGTCATTTCAAAATGCATCAATTGTTCTGCTGCAAGAGAATCCATCTCGTTCTGAGGCCATGGGGTCCCCAAAAAGAGAAACTGGGAGGCAAAGAGTTATAGATGGTGATCCAGCACAATCACATTCTTTAAGTAAAGGGGGATATATTTATCTACAAAAGGAAAACATTCTATAAAGTCCCTAGCATCTGGGAACTACAGGTGGCAGGTGGAAAGAGGGAGCAATAAGAAAGAAAAACTAGCCAGTTAGGCTTAACTAGAAATACAGAATATTTCCATCAGAATAGAAAGTTCTATTGGACAGCACTGCTCCAGAGAAAACCAGTAAATTTACTACAATTTACTACATACAATATTAGTATGCTAAGATATAGAAATACTTAGCATGAGAAGGAAAAGAAGTAAAAAAGAGGGTATTCACTTAAAGATATTAAGAGTGGAGTTCCTAGTAGTCTTATATGAATATTTATATTCATATGTATTTAATCCTGTTTATTTATGTACTTAATCCTACTTCGTAGATAATAAACAGTGCAGGGAGAGAACATGTATTTTTAACAAATACCCCTTGCCTCTGAATGTCCTCTTTCCAAACTTCAATGTTACTCATGAAGAAAACAGAGTAGAGCAATAAATCTTTAGTCTCAGGAATGCTACCCACTCTGCACTGCACCCACTGAATGCAAACACAGTTTTGCCATATGTGAACATCAATGGTTAATTCAATGAACCCATTATCAGCATCAGACAAACATTCAGCTTGATTCAAAGCTGACACAATCTCCACCCTAATAAGGGTAGAGAAGAGAAAGATTCAATAATTATTACCTTGTATCACATATAATTGATGAGAGAGGGTGACAGGAAAAATAGATATAAAATTTAAGAGAAAGCTTAATGGGTTTAGGAAACTTCCTTTTTTAAGATTAAGAATGCTTCAAGAGCAATGTCCTCTTTCAGTAAGATCCAGCAACAGTGACAATGAAGAAGCCTCAGCAACTTAGCAAGGCTCTAAGCAACTCAACAAGACCCTGTCTCTAAATAAAAAAAAACTAAAAGGGCTGGGGATGTGGCTCAGTGGTTAAGTACCCCTGGGTTCAATCCCCAATCCCCAGTACCAAAAAAAAAAAAAAGAAACAGTGACAATGACTCTGAAGCAGATCCAGGTTACCTGAGAAATGTCTCTCAAGTTGGCTAAGTATAATCACAACTGTACAAAGTTTTAAAAATAGATATCCTCCCTGTTTCCCACCCCAACACTGAATTCCAATTTAAGCCTGCATTTTAAAGATGGCTCCATAGATGACTGAGGCTTAGTCAAATGTTACATGACAGCCATTTAGTTACTAACAGGGATATCATGATAGTGGCTACAAAGTTAGGTGCAACCAGCAACAGAATTTGACTTGAGAGACTTTAAAACTGGCTAGAAATTAAGAAATGCTAAAATTTAATCAGAACCTTTAAGTAAGCTTCTTATTTGGGCATCTATAAATTTTTGAGAAAAAAAGACAGTGCCTATATTTTCAAAATACTTGTTATTTTAAACACTTTAATAATTATTACCTTGTATCACATATAATTGATGAGAGAGGGTGACAGGAAAAATAGATATAAAATAAAGAGAAAGCTTAATGGGTTTAGGAAACTTCCTTTTTTAAAAAAAATATTTTTTAGATGCTGATGGACCTTTATTTTATTCATTTATTTATGTGTGGTGTTTAGAATCAAATCCAGTGACTCACACATGTGAGGCAAGAGCTCTACTACTGAGGCACAACTCTAGCCCCTATTCCTATTTTGATGAGAAAACAATACACTTCTGACACTGATACATATCAGGTGTGTGTATGTGTATATGTGTGTGTGTGTGTGTTCAAGGTCCTGAGGATTGAACCCAAGGTATGCTAGGCAAGGGGTCTACCCCTGAGTTCAAGCCCTTACAAAATAATTCTTAAAGATATAAGACAATTTTTTAAGAAATATTTATTTTTAGTTATAGTTGGACACAATACCTTTATTTTATTTATTTTTATGTGGTGATGAGGATCGGACCCAGGCCTCGTACGGGCTAGGCGAGCACTCTATCGCTGTACCATAACCCCAGCCCCCAATCAGACAATTTTTAAGAAAAATATTTTTCCTGTCTCATGTTTTTAAGAAAATGTTACCTTATTACAAAAGTTAAAGACTTGTATCTTATTTACATCACTCCATTTTGAGACATAAAATTGTTTTAGTGGTCAATGAAGTTGTGATTCTCTCCAAGTTTCTACTATTTTCAAGTCTGCACAATCTCTTGCATTTGGCATTTAACACTCCTAACACCAATCCAAACTCGTACATATTTTGCTCAAGTTTTGCTCTTTCCTCCCATCTCTGCCTTCCTCTGTCTCAATTTTTTACATCTAAATGACACTTATACCCATATTTATCATATAACCCTCAGAGAACTCAACTCTCACTTATCAAAAGCCGGTGATTCAATATACTCACATACAGCAAGAAATCGGGGTAAGCTGAAAGAATAAATGGTGTTAGAACTAAGAGAGAAGGGTGTATTTTTTTGACCCTGGAAAATTATTCAGAAGGAAGAAATACATCTTAGCCTAAGGGTAATGTCAAAAAGGGGGAAGTAAGAATTGAAGGTTTTGGTATGTAAGTGTCAACAGACTATTCAAGAGAAAGTTGTATACCCAAAGAACTTCCCTACACAGATCATATTTATACACACACACACACACACACACACACAGGCATTAACATCATGGTTACTCTGAAGTCACAATACCTTCTCGACTAATTCCTGGAAGCAGCTGAGTTAAAGGTTTGTGTGGCTCAGTCATATCATTTCTAATGTAAACTGGAATTACACTGAGAAGCTCCTGACGATCTTCCTCATGCACAACAGGAATAGATTCTAAAATCAGTTGCATCTGTTCAAGTTCATGTGCACCTGAGGGTAAAAAAACACCAAATATAACAAATACATTGTTCTGTGTTTATTTGGCAATAAACATAAACATTGTAATGAACAGTGGGGCAGGGGGACAATTTCAAATGGATCATTAATTAGCAGATTTCACCATTCTGAATATCACTTGTCTACTTAGCCTATTTATTTCAATTTCTGCCTACTGATATATTTAGCTTTAGCTGATCTCTTTCCACAAGGAGCTGACTCTTGAAAGTCTGGCCTCATACTAAGATTATCAAAGAAGTGGGGAAAAAAGCAATGAATTAGGATTCCAGAAACTTGGACTCTAATCTTAGCTGTACTACTAATTAACGGTTTTACTCTGGAGACAATACTTAGTAGCTGTAGGATTTGATTTCATCATCAACAAAAGAGAAGGAAGGTTGGACTAGATTTATGCAACAAGTAGCTTTGTATTTATGTTTAGGCTCAGTTAGCATTTCTAATCAGAACCATTATTAATAGAATAAAAGGGAAATAAAGGCTAAATGGGTGACTAAGAAAAAAAATCTATCTGTATTTCCACTATTAGAAATTCATTCAAATTTTTAGTTCCTACTACCTACAGAGCACTCAGGAATTCAGCTGTACAACAAAGTCCCTGTTTTCATGGAGTTAACAATCTAGTGGATAAAGATTGATAATCTGTAAACGCTACATAAAATGATAATGAACACAACAAAGAAAAGTAGAGTAATGTCCCTGTGGGGAGGAGGGTTGTTAATTTATAAAGGATGATTTATAAATTTATAAAGGAAGTGAGGGAATTCACTCACTTTCATAAGGAGGAAGATGGAGAAAGGCTCAGAGAAAAAAAGTGGGCTTAGTGTGTCCCAGAAACAATTAGAAAAGTATAGATGGGGCCAATAGTAGGAGATGAAGTCAGAGTGGTATCAGAATATAAAGGGTTTGCTTTACCCTACAGTTTAAGTAGAAAGACATGATCTGACTTGTGTTTTAAAAGGACTAGTCTAGTTAGTAAGTGGTAACTGGCCTACAAATAGTAAATACTGGAACAGGGAAAAAAAACTATTAAAAAAAAAAAAAACGGTCAGTAAGGAAAAGGAAGAATCAACAGAGTGGTACACAGAAAGACAAGTAAAGAAAAAAAAAAAACATTTAAAGAAAAAGGATAAGATTGTGACAAATGCTGGAGATGGATAAAATAAGAATTGAGCCAGGTGTGATGGCACACAACTGTAATCCCACCGACTTGACAGGATGAGGCAGGAGGATCTCAAGTTTGAGACCAGTCTCAGCAACTTTGTGAGGCCCTGTCTTAAAAGCAAAAAAAAAAGGAAAAAAAAAGGAAAAAAAAATTTGACCTAGGATTTAGCATTATAAGTATCACCAGTGACCCTGATAAGCAGTTTTGATAGAGGACTAGAGAGGGTTCCAGGAAAATAAAGAGAGGAATTAAAGATAGCAGAATATACCAGAGTTTTTTAGGAGATTTACTTTGAAAGAATTTTTTTCTTTTGTACTGGGGACTGAACCCAGGGGCACTTTACCCCTGAGCTGCATCCCTAGTTTTTTTTGTTGTTGTTGTTTTTTTATTCTGGGACAAGATCTTATAGAGTTGCTGGGAAGAAAGGTGTATGCCCCCATGCCTGGCTAGAGATTTTTTTAACATTGTAAACATACTAATAGTTGAATACTGATTAAAAAGGGTCCAGGAGGAGGATGAAATGAAGGTACAACATCATCATCATCATCATCATCATCATCATCATCATAATAATAATGCTAGAGTATTGAAATGCTGGCCTAGAATCAGAAGAGAAAACATCTACTGCCCAAGTAGAGGGATTGGCTCTGAACAAGACTACAGATGGACACTGACAATGTACACATAAAACAAATGCACAGAAAAACAAGACTGATTCTTCCTATATGTTTTAAAAAAAATAGATTTAAATCAATGTATAATCTGTTTTTTGTTGCCATTCCTTTGCAGCATATACCTGATAACCACTCAGATCTCTCTCCATGCTGCTTTTATTGAATAGTTAATCTAATATCAATAGGGAACTATAAGCTAGAGCTTTCAAATCATTTTATGATTACTCTTATACTACCTTAGGGTTTTTTAAAGTCCAGTTCTTTTTACTGCTATACTTGAATGATGTCTGAATGTGTCAAATGAACATTTGAAAATACATGAAGTACCTTTGTATAATCAACACAGCAGTATTTACTGATCCCGTTTCTTTAACTTGGAGCATGACATAATGCTTTTACATTCTATAGATTTAAATTTGTTTCCTTAGTATTCCTGATTCATTTTTGTGATAGCTTTAAAATATGTCCACAAATTCTTAGATATGTCTCCTGTCAAAGGGTAGAACCCAACTCCCCTCCCCATGAGTGTGAGCTGTACTATTGACTAGCTTCTAATGCATAAGATAATCTGAAGTGACACTAACTTTTGCCATGAAGTCACAAAAAGATATTTTCTATTTATGGTCAACTGATTTTTAACAAAGAAGTCGTGATAATTAGATGGAGAAAGACAAACTTTTTCAATAAATGTTGCAGAGACAACTAAATATCTATATGTAAAGAATGAAACTGGACCACTACCAAACTCAAAATAGATCACAGACCTACATGTGAACAGTTAAAACTATAAAACTTAGAAGAAAACCCATGACCTTGAATTAGAAAATAGTTTCTCAGATTGGACTTCATCAAAATTAAAATTTGTTTCAAAAGACACCAGCAAGAAGGAAAAGACAGTCTGTGAACAGCATGAGAAAAAAATAAATGTAAATCATATATCTGATAAGGGATTTCTATCTAGAATATGTAAAGAACTCTTTCAAAAAGACAACCTAATTTAAAAATGAGCAAAAATCTGGATAGTCTCCAAAGAAGATATAAGAATGGCTAATAGGAACATAAAAGAGAGTTGGGATTGCAGCTCAGTGGTACTGCACTCACTAGGCACTGGGCTCGATCCTCAGCACCATAAACAAACAAAGGTATTGTGTCCATGTAAAACTTACACACACACACACACACACACACACACACAAGATGTTCAACATTGTAAATTATTAGGGAAATGAAAATAAAAACCACAATGAGATACTATTTCTTATCAGCTAGGATCAAAAATAACACTTTAAAGGTTGATAAAAACATGGAGAAATTGGAACCCTCACACATTCTTAGATGAAGGGAATGCAAAATAGTGCAGCTGCTTTGGAAAACCGTCTTCTCTTCAAACACTGAGCTTATGTCACTAGCAATTCAGCACCTAAGTATATATTCCCAAGAGAACTGAAAACACATGTTAACACAAAAACTTAAAACATCCATAGCAGCATTATTCACATGGCTAAAAAGTACTAACCCAAATGTCTCATCAGCTGATGAGTAGATGAACAAAATGAGGAATATCTATATAGTGGAATACTATTGGTCATTAAAAAGGAATGAAGTACTAATATGCCCCATGGATGAACCTCTAAAATAATGCCATTTGAAAGAAACCTGTCACAAATGATAACTGTTATGATTTTATTTACGTAAAATGTTTAAAATGGGCAAATCTAGAGACAGAAAACAAGATTACTGGTTCCTAGGAGGTAGGGGGAGTGACTGCTAATGGTTACAAAGTATCTTCAGGAGGGATGGAAATGTTATAAAATTAGATGGTAATGATGGCTATACAACCCAGTAAATATAATTAAATACTAAACTATACATTTTAAATGAGTGAACTTTGTGTGAATTATATTTCAACTACACATTTTTTTTTTAATATATTGGCTTTCTTCTGGCTCTTTTGTATCATTAGTTCTGGCAAAAGCCGACTTCTACACTATGATGACACTCAAGCAAGTCCTATGGAGAAGCCCACCTGGTAAGAAACTGAGGCCTCTTGGTAACAGTCATGTCAGTAAGCTATCCAGAAGTGGATCCTCCTGCCCCAGTGGAGCCTTCAGTTGACTGCCACCCTGACCAACATCTTGACTGAGAAAACCTGAGCTGGAACCACCCAGCTAAGCCACTCCCAAATTCCTAACCCACAGAATCTGTAAGATAATAAATGTTTATTGTTTAATTCATTAAGTTCTGGGTTGTTACACAGCAACAAATAATACAATAATTATTTTACATATGCTGAAAGGTACTCAAATACCAGGAACGTAACCTCTAATCACAGTATTGTTCCTAGGAAACAATTCACTTAACTATTCAGTTTATTAACTGGTATAATCTCAAAGTTTTTTATAATTGAAATACAATCAATATCACACATCACAGAAGAAATTTCAGATAAATATAGGGAAAAGAGGATAAATAACTTGTTAATGTTATGTAAGCTAAGCATGGCAACAAGTAAAACACACTTAGGGGCATCTGTACATACCATCCTTTCTTCAACTACACTCTCCTATGCACCCTAGTGTTCTTTTATTAACCTTTCTTTTGTAACCAGACTCTGTCTACCCGTCCACATTCAGCACAACCTGGGAATGGAAAGAGGGCCAACAACTCTGAACACTGGTTATAGATGGAAAAATAGAAATGTCAAAAGAGAAAAAGGAGCTGGATGCATTGGCACATGCTTAAAACATAAGCTACTTGGGGGGTTGAGGCAGGAGGATCCCAAGTTCAAGGCCAGGTTGGGCAACTTAGCAGGACCCTACTTCAAAGTAAAAAAAAGGAAAAAAAAAAAAAAAAAAAAAGACCTGGATCACCATTTTATCACTTCTTGAAGTAAAAAATCTTCAGCTTCCTACTTTTCCAAATAATAACTTCTCTGCCTACTTTCTAAGAGATTAAGTATTCTGGCTCCATATTAACTAGTCTTAAATACCATATTATTATTTGACCACCTTGCTTTCATCAAACTTTTCTCATGGATTCATGAATGTACCAGGCTCATTCCTTCATATGAACATCCTTCAATAATGTTTTTTTCTTCCCTCTTCTTTACTAGTCTTTACTATTCCTATGTAGTGAAAAACTTTTTACTCCATTTGCCTTCCTTTTCAGCTATGACTAACAATTTTTAAGTTTGCAGCTCTTATAGTCAAAATTAAATTTTATATAAACTCATACATTGCTTCTTATCTTAACTAAGTTCTCTCTGCCACATTTTCAGACTCTTCCATAATCCAACCTTAACAAACAAACAACTTTTTTTTTTTCCCTGAAAGATCACAGTAGTCACGCAAAAGGATATGGCAGTTCAAGCAACAAAGATAATGAAGTGACCAAGAGAAATTTTTTGGATTTTCAAGAACTAAAATATTTCACCAGAGAATGACAAAGACTATACTATGCAAATCAGACATCAACACAGATTATCAACTAGTATTGTGGGTTCACAAAATATGAAGTTAGGTTTAGGAAATAAAATGGTATATGTAAAAAAAAAAAACAAAACTAGAGTTCTAACTAAATTTACAAAGTGACCAAGTTAGTGAATATGTGACTAAGTTTTCTCAATTTTTTCAATAATAAAAACACCATCTTTTAATATAACAGACTATAATAAATTATTTTATATGAATTGTGGGAAGCCTGCGCATGGTAGAATGAATCCCACTTATAGATGAATGAAAAATTAGTTTCTCTTGTGGATAATTTTTTTACATAATACGAACCTGCAAAGAGGGTTTTACCAGTCAGCATTTCAGCAAAGATGCAGCCTGCAGCCCACATGTCAATGGCTTTAGTATAGTTATTAGGAGAAAGTAAAAGACGTGGAGATCTGTACCATTTAGTAACCAAACCTTCAGAAAGATGACCCTAAACAAGAAATAAGAAACATTTTATTTTTTTGCTTACTTTAGCTAAAGAACTACCAACAAAATAACACAAAACAAAAAACCCAGTAAACTGTTAACTAATTAATATGGAGCCAGAATACTGTTGATTTCTAAGATCATTTTTAAGGTTCTTATACTTTTGAGGGTGAGTTACATTTCCCAGAATATACCATCTATAAGATGATAAAAGGCATGTCTGCTGACTAAAATACACCATAAGAATTTAGGGCTAACTTTAGCCCACACATCCAAAACATGTTTCAGAAGAGGAGCTATTTTTTCACTCCAAGTCTTAAGATAATTAAGGATCAGGTATTCTTCAAATCAAAGAGAAAGACAGGGAAGAGCACTAGAGTTGCTACTTGTACCAGCCTATTCTTTGAGAACTCAGGGGAACTGGCTCTACTATATATCCCACTCCTAAACAATTTTATTTACATTTGTTTGACAAAAACACGCCTATATTGTTTTATTTCACCCTCAAATCAAAACTGAGAAATTATGAATGGTATATATTAACTCCATTTTTACAGTGTGATAACACTCAAGATTAAGGTCAAATAGCTTAAGGTAATAAAGCTAGTTAGGTATAGAAAGGGAAGTAAATGTTAGTGCAACTCTTAGTTCAATATTCTATATGTAATACTTCATTGTTAGCTCTAAAGAGAACATGGGTGCTGGGTGTAGCAACACACTCCTATAATTTCAACTACTAGGGAGGCTGAGGCAGGAAGACCATGAGTTTGAGGTTAGCTTGGGCAATTTAGCAAGACCCTGTCTCAAAATAAAAGAAAAAGAAAAAGGGCTGGGGATGTAGGTGACTGGCAGTGCACTTGCCTAGTATGTGAGAGGCCCTGGGTTCAATCTCCAGTACAGGATGGGTATGGGTGTGGGTGGGTGTGGTTGTAGTGGTGGGTGTGGTTGTAGTTATGGTTGTGGCTATGTGTTTGGGGGCGGGGGGGGTAATATCCATTTCAGTTCAGTACTCAATTTCTATGGTTTTTTTGGTTAGTTTGTTTTTAATGAAGTAAAGATATCCTTAATGTGACACACACTATGAAAAGCCAAGCAATCAGAGTATCCAGGGATTCTTTATAACTAAAGTAGCTTCACTTTTACATTTTACACATCATGGTCCCACATTAGATTTCAATTGAAAACTAAAAGATAGGGTTCTGTTTGGAAAATACTATCAAATTTTTGCACGAAAGCAAGTGCTAAGGGAAAGTTGCTATAAACTGCCAACTGTTTGTGCAAATTTAAATTTCAAACTAAATTCAGTTTATTTTTAAAAGGTGTAACTATAGTATAGAATATTGTCAAAAAGCAAGGCCTAAAGGTTGGACTAGCACCCTGTCTTTCCTTCAGGTAGGACCTCTCTGCTGTCCCAAACAGAGAAAAATATATTCCCCTTTGAAATAACTATACAAGAATTTCAGTTATAATAAATAACCATATGCTCTGGAACTTCACTATAATGCATAAACATATACTTTTGGGGATGTATATTTAATTAGGATCCCTCTCTACCATTTCAAATGCAGGGAAATTGTGAAAGTAGATCTGCATCGGAAAAAAAGACACCATTGGGTTAAAAAAAAAAATCTGTCTGAAGTGACGTTTCACATACCTTATGGGAATAATGAGGATCCATAATCCGTGCAAGACCAAAGTCACCTATCTTCAGCACCAAGTCTTCAGTATTAATGAAAAGATTAGCTGGTTTGAGATCTCTGTGCAGTACATTCGCAGAGTGAATATACTTGAGCCCCCGTAGCAGCTGATACATGAAAAGCCTGGCATGCTCTTCCAGTAAAGGGCCCTGCTCCAGCACATTAGCCAAGTCTGTCTCCATGTACTCCTGAACAATGTAAACACTGTTCAGTTCAGTAAGAGAGCCCACATCGTCTGTTAACTGGCTTCCACTGGGGCCAAGAATTTCAAACACTTTCACAATGTTATCATGGTCAAGTCTTCTAATAATTTTGATTTCACGGAGAGCATGTTTGACACTCTGGGGATCAGTAAGGACAATTTTCTTGATGGCTACTCTTTTGTCACAGTCATTGTCTACAGCAGAAAAAACCAAGCCATTGCCTCCACAACCCAATGGTTTTAAGTCCATATACCTAGAGCCCAGATCAAAACCATGAATGTTCATAAGACTTTCAAATTTCTCTGCCATTTTGAAACCCTTACTATCGCCTTTTCCTTTCGAATTGTTGAACTTGTGTAAACAAGGAAGAAAACAGGCATCAAAAGGAAAGATCTTTCAAAAATGGGAGAAGAAAAATAATTATGCTTCCACAGCAAGATGGTTTCTTGATGTTCATTGCATATGCCAACCAGGCCTGTTGAGTTCCCCTCAGATTTAAAGCTCAAAAAGCTCTACTCATATTGAGACTTAAAAAGATTGCAGTACTCATAGTTCAAGAAAGGGGCAGCAACTCTGCAGACATTTAAAGAAAACACTCAAGAAACTCAAACGGAATGAAATGACATACTATGCACTCAGATATACTGTGCTAAACGATTTAACATTTAACAAAAATGTGAATAAATATGCACACAACAGGCTTCTATGAACATTCTCCTCACAGTGCAGATACATTCAGTGTTGGACTGGTCCTGAGCAGCATCATTCTAAGGTGCTGGTAAGCACTATTTCCTTTTTGCTTCTTTTCTTCCTTTGTTGCTATATATTTCAACAGGAAGCCCTGGCGACTGTTGGTTGACAGATGTCTTTTGTTAGTGATCAGGTGGCTCCAGCTCACCACAATCACAATCAAAGCTACCGTCCATCTTACTCTGATACAACCTAGAGGATAAAAAAGAAGGGAAAGAGTCACCACTACAGAAAATACTCTTTTCTTCAAATTTGTAAAATGATACAAACTGGGCATGTAGCAATAAACTACTACTGGTGCATTAAACTTATTTATAATCAAATGCTAAATTACTCTTCATCAAAAAGAGCTTACAAAAATGAAATTCACCATGGCTGCCTGGGCTCCAGATCTCACTACAATACATTCTTTATAACACTTGGGTTCATCAGGTTGTGCATTTTTTTTTTTTGAGAGAGAGAGAGAGAGAGAGAGAATTTTTTTTTAATATCTATTTTTTAGTTCTCGGCGGACACAACATCTTTGTTGGTATGTGGTGCTGAGGATCAAACCCGGGCCGCACGCATGCCAGGTGAGCGCGCTACCGCTTGAGCCACATCCCCAGCCCCAGGTTGTGCATTTTTTAATGCCAACAAGGATGAAATGGTTCTTCACATTTTAACAGAACTCTTTAGAGATTCTTGAGGGATGAAATATTAATAACACCTCTCTAAATGAACATATATAATAAGTCTGCAATGTTAGTTCATGAAAAAAGTCTACTTATTTACTATCGGTTACCCATGAACAAAAACCTTGTAGTACAAATAAAATAAATTTGTGGGATATGCTCTTCAATTTATGGAAAAATAAACTTGACCAGTGAATAAATATATGTAAAAATGTTTAATATCACTGTCAAAAATCAAAATGAGGATAACATTTCAGACTGGGAAAACCTTTTGAGTCCGTTCATATCAAGTCTGAGAAGAATGCAGAAAAAGTAATTTTCAGACAATATTTTTTTTTTAAAGAGAGAGAGAATTTTTTAATATTTATTCTGTAGTTTTTGGCGGACACAGCATATTTGGTTTTTTTTGTATGTGGTGCTGAGGATCGAACCTGGGCCGCACGCATGCCAGGCGAGCGCTCTACCACTTGAGCCACATCCCCAGCCCCCTCAGACAATATTGATGAGAGTTTAAATTACAGAATTTCAAAGCAATTTGGTGTAAGTACATGAATGAATGAATGAATGAATGAATGAATGAATGAATGAATGATTCCCCCCCAGGTAAACTCCTTACAGAAATGCTTGCAAATAAATATACAAATTTTTTGTTGTTGTTTTTGTAATGGCAAAAAAATTGAAAAACATAAACTTTCAAAATTAGAAAAACACATAATAATTTTGAGTCTATACAGACTACTATATAATAATAAAAACGGATATAAATGGTTGAAACATCCAAAATATATAAATTAAAATCAAACTGCAAACTGGCATAATGGCACAAGCCTATAATCACAGCTACTCAGGGAGCTGGACAGACAATTGGAAGTTCAAGGCCAGCCTCAGCAACTGAGACCCTACCTAAAAATATAAAGGGTTGTGGATATGTGTAAGAGCATCCCTGGGTCTACTCCCCAGTATAGTTGTGTGCATGTGTGGGTGTGTTAGTGTGGCAGGGGCAGGGTGCTGAAAATAGAAATGTGCCTGTTAAAACAAATTATATCAGATTCAAAGTCATGCAAAATAATGCTATTTTATGGTTACATATATATGTAGCAAAAATATTTAAAAAAATACCATGAGATTGACAAATTCTAAACTCATGATAACGATTACCTTGAGGAATGAGGAAAGGGATTAGAATCAGGATGGACTGGCATTACATAATAACTTCATATATCTTTAACATGTTATTTCTTTTTAAAAACTGAAGTATAGCAAATTATTAGTATCTTATAGTGCGAGGTGGTATATATGTGTCATTATGTTACTCTCTACATTAGAAATATTTCATGATTTTAAAAATATTCTATACAAGGGTAGGAAAAAAAAAACAGCCTCAACTCCAGTAGATGGGTCCCTAGCCAGCCTGAAAAAAAATTAATGCAATTTATTTTGTTGTTATTTTTTGGAGGGGTGGTAGGAGGGATTAAACCCAGGGGCATTTAACCAATGAACATACCCCCAGCCCTTTTTTGTGTTTTACTTAGAGACAAGATCTCACTGAGTTGCTTAGGGACTCACTAAATTGCTGAGGCTGGCTTTGAACTCAGGATCCTCCTGCCTCAGCCTTCTGAGTCAGTGGGATTACAGGTCTGCTCCACTACACTTGGTTTCTTTCATTTTCTTAAAGGTCTAATCCTTGATCTGCGGATGTTTGCATCCAAAGTACCAAGTGAGATACAGAAAGTAAATTGGTCAGAATTCCTGACAGGTAAAACCAGGCAGAAAGAATAATCTAAAACCAGAGCAAAACAGACATGATTTTGGCCCTTGGGAAATTCAACTTATTGCCCAACAGAAAACAGCCTTGTTTATTGAAAGGTACTGTTCCTCAGTTCTTCTAATAAAAAGGAACACTTCTTCTATCTGCTTAATATTGTGAATGACATTAATAACACTCTTTATTTTACCATAACAGAGATGAGTTCTTCTGTTTGCAATTTCAGAAAAAAAAAAAAAGATAGGTTCCTAGAAATTCTACAGCTTACCAGTCTATGTGCAATGAAACATTTAAAAATTAAAATCTGTGAATACATTTTTAAATTTTTAAAAATTTCAGAGCTGGGGGTTAGCTCAGAGACAAAGGCCTGGGTCTGATCCCCACATCCACCTATACATGAGTGCACACATATACACACACAAAATTAGTTTCTTAAAGGGCTTTAGTTACTAATACATGTCCTTTATTCCATTTTTTTCTTTTCCATTTTTTGGTACCAGGGATTGAACCCAGAGGCACTCGACCACTGAGTCATATCCCCCCCCCCATTTTGTAATTTATTTAGAGACACAGTCTCTCTGAGTTGCTTAGCACCTCACTGTTGCTGGCTTTGAACTCATGATCCTCCTATCTCAGCTTCCCGAGCCTTTGGATTACAGGCATGCACCAGCATGCCCAGCTTATTTATTACCATTTTCTCTGCCTTCATATTTAATTTCATAAAGCAAGGTTCAAGTATTAGACTCAGAAAAGAATTAGGCTCCATATTCTTGTTGTACATTCTATATTCTTAGAGGAGGAAAAGAAAAATAGGGCAATAACTTAAAATGACCCTTTCCAGGATCCTTCCAATTTTTTTGTCTTCAAATGTTAACCATTCCTACCAACTAGTGCTGATTCTATGTTGTTTGGAGAAGGATCATTAATTAAGTTTGAATTAGTTGGCTCAATGTTGTTTTATTTTTAACAATTTGGTGAATATAAAGAAGTACAGAGAATAGCAAGAATAAAGCTGGGTTTTTGTTTTACCTCTGGTCTTCTTTCAGTGATCTAATACAATGTGGAAAGTAAGAGGTCAGGCTGGATACCAGTTTTCTAAGTTTATAAGACAGTTTCCTGAAACTGCCCTGACCACAACTGTTTCCTCAAGCACTCCTGTCTTCTCTAAATTACTTCAAGTTCTCTACCACCTGGTCTATCTCCCAATCGAGAGAAATGTAGGTGGTGTGAGTCAAATCTTAGTCTAAGGTCAAAATGCAAAAGAAAAATAAAAGAATAACTTTGCTCTATCTCCCAATTCTGTAGAACAATCTGGCCTGTGTCAAAAAGGAAGTCTGAATGTACAAAGTTTGAGGTAAAGATCTTAACATAAAGCTTTAACATAAAACTTACTTTTCTGGTTTTCTCTCCACCTTCTATTTTGTTGCTTCTCTGGTTAAATGCTGACATGATCATCTGACCTGTTCATATCCTCTGACAATCCTTCCCTTATCCCTCCTCTCAAAGGTTCTTACCTATTTTTCTCTTCTCCAGAGTGAATTTTGAGTTAACTGAAATCTAGCCAGTCTCACATCTCCTCAAAAATCCAGTTGCTTTTGGAAAGGGAAAGGTTGACCTCTACTTATATTCACCTAGAATTGTCTCATCCCTGGCACAGAGAGGTATTGTCATAGTAAATTCATCCTTCCCTAAGATTACGTCTAAACTCTCATCAAATTTTTAGGATACAGAAGGCTAAGGGCTAAAGTTTAGCTGCTTGCTCATTTGTTTTGTTTTGTTTGGTACTAGGGATTGTACCCTGGGGTACTCTACTACTGAGCTACATCCCCAGTCCTTTTAATTTTTTATCTTGAGATGGAGTTTTCACCAAGTTGCTGAGGCTTGTCTCAAACTTGTAATCCTCCTACCACAGCCTCCCAAGTCACCAAAATTACAGGCATGTGCCACCATACCCAGTTCATATGTACTCTTAACAAAAGCTCTTGCTCCTAATGTAGGGTGGCCCTATTAGAAGCTTTTTTGAGGATTTGTACCTCAAGGAGGTCAGTAGTATAAATTAATATTAGTAAATAACCTCAGAAAATAACTAGGAAAGTGGGGGGGGGGTCTTAAAACTACAAGGCCAAAGCCTAAAAGGCTCTGCTTAGTACAGTACCAGAGTACTACTCTTGCTACAGAGATAAACTTGCAAAGTCAAGTTGGATGATTACATAGCTTCTACCAAGGTATCCAAGTTAAAAACAAAACACTAGGGCTGGGGATGTAGCTCTGTGGTATAGCACTTGCCAAATATGCAGTGAGGTCCTGGGTTCCACCCCTAGCACTGAAAACTAAAAAGTAGTAAAATATAAAACAAAATACTTGTTATGTGCATGTACAAATATGCCATAATGAATCTCACTATTGTATATAATTATAATGTACCAATAAAATATTAAAAACCCTCTTCTACTATGAATTTCTGTTTTTAAACCCGAATGCTAGCCTAAATACACCTTAACATTATGGGCTTTTGTTTGCCTTTGGCCATTAAAGAGCCATTATAAAATACATACACATATGTATACATGTATATATAATTTTTTTCCTTTCTTTATCTTTTCCTTCTTTCAAGAGATGGGGTCTCTTGGGCTGGGTTGTGTCTCTGTGGTAGAGCGCTTGCCTAGCATACATGAGGCCCTGGGTTTCAATCCCTGGCTCCACATACAAATAAAATAAAGGTATGTGTCCACCTATAACTAAAATATTTTTTAAAT